TGACTCTCTAAAAGGATGCAAACAACCAGCTGTCTGCAAGGAATATAAATCCTTCCGTTCCCCACCATCCAGTCAGAGGTGAAGAAGCTTCTTGGATGAGAAGGAAAAAGTCTTCAAAGAAAAAAAATAAGAAAGTCCAGTTGCCTCCTGAAAAAGCACCTTTGGGGCAACCATGACCTGGATGACTGAAAATCTACATAGACCTTGAGTATTAGGTATGTTCACTACCTTGAGCTATTTATAAAAACAAGGTGGGATTTTAAAAAATCAAAAATTGTGAAACAATTGCAAAACAAGTTTTGCCGCCCTTGATGACTTGTCTTACCACGGTTGTTAAGTGAATCACTGCAGTTTATTAGTTGTAACCTGGTTGTTAAGTGAATCTGTCTTCCCCATTGGCTTTGCTTGTCGGACAGTCACCAAAAGGGGATCATATGACCAATATGAACCAATTGACAAGCATCTGAATTGTGGTCGTGGCGATGTCGCAAAGGTTGTAACTATGAAAAACGATAAAAAGTAACAGTAAGAGAGTTGGAAGGGACCTTGGAGGTCATCTAGTCCAACCCCCTGCTCACATAGGAGACCTGTACTAGGGATTCGAACAGCCGAACTGCCAACCTTTCTGATCGACAAGCTCAGTGTCTTAGCCACTGAGCCCCCTAGTCATAAGTCACATTTTTCAGTGACGTTGTAACTTAGGACGGTCACTAAACAAACCGTTGTAAGTCAAGCACTACCTGCATATGAAAGAAAACTTGAAAAGACAGCTGTCTAACTAACTTCTTCTTAGGTAATTTTATCCCAATTCATTTCTTCAATTATTCAGAGGGATACTCTGCGAGTCTGCTCTTGTTAATGCTGCACCGGTTTATTTCCATTTAGCAGAGTCTATTTTTAACCCTCTAAAATACAGCCTTTGAATACTGAGTGCTGCTGCATTATTGGCAGGATAATTTGACTTTAAAATTCGTTTGGGTAACAGCATCCAAGTCTCGACTAGTAAAGGGAGACATCAGTTGCCAAGCTGTGCTTTCAAAGTCTCCCACACAGATCCCAGGTTAAAGAAAAATCCAGGCCCTGGGCCTTAATTGCAGGTGGCAGTTGGGGAGAGAGGCAATAAGAAAATGGCAGTTCTTACATGTTCAAAACTCCCTTCTCTGACGTTGAAGAAGAAGAGCAATCGTGTATTAGAATCCAGTTTATGGCATGTGGCTCCAGAATGGACACCCTTCTCCAGAGGAATAAACATCAGATGAAATTAAGTATTGCCCACTTGTCTAAACACCAAGATAGGAGGGAGGGAGGGAGGGAGGGAGGGAGGGAGGGAAGGAAGGAAGGAAGGAAGGAAGGAAGGAAGGAAGGAAGGAAGGAAGGAAGGAAGGAAGGAAGAGCACGGGATCCCGTTGCGAACTGGTAATAAAGGTAAGTAGAACCCACCCCTGAGCAAAATGTTTTCAATTGTAAGAAGAAATATCCTTCTAGGTTCAGCTCCAAGTGGGGAAAAAGACACTGGAAACATGGAGACTGCTTGGAAAGATGGTTTAATGGTGGACAGAATCACATGGTTTGAGTTCCTGAACAGAAAAGGGCCGAGATGCTGAGTGTGCCTTGGTTTTATACCCTCTCTGGCTTTGAACTTCCTGGGGCCCCGAAAGAGTATCCTGATTGGTTGTCAGACTCCCAGGGGGTGAGGGTTATAGCTAGCCTTGCTGGCTGACATAATCGTCCCAGGTGCCAAGTGGTGAGTTTCTGTTGCTAGATGGGTCCTATTGTGTTGCAGATGATGGCCCATTGACAAAGAGTGGTGGCAGGAAGATGGGAGCTGCTTTGTCTTTAAAACATGCTTCTCCATTTCTCATCCAGGAAAAAATAATATTCTGCCTTTTTAATATTTCCTAAAATATTTCATTCTTCTAGGAAAGGGGTGGGTGCTAACTTCCTACACAAGGAAAGAAGAACCAAGCAAATCCAATTGCCTTTTGGAAAAAGCATCTTTGGGGCAACCATGATCTGGATAATTGAGAATCTCAGTAGTCTTTCACTTAGCCAGTCCCCCGGTCTCATCTGCTACTCTGTGTTTGACTGAAAAGTAATCTTGCCTTTGATTTTGCACTGTCATTTTATTCCAGGATTCTAGGACAGAAAGTGGCTGGTATCCCTATCTTTTGTGATAGAATAGAATTCTTTACTGGCCAAGTGTGATTCGACACACAAGGAATTTGTCTTTGGTGCATGCGCTCTCAGCGTACATAAACATATGTGATAAATTATGATCATAGTCATCATAAATACATTCAGCATGAATCATAAGATACAACCAGTAGTGGTTTTCACTTACCTTCGCTACCAGTTCGGGACTGTGAGCGTGATTGTGCATGCGTTCGCTTCTCTCTCGTGTAGCACTTCTGCGCATGCACAGAGCATCCATGATGACGTCTGGATGGGTTGGCAGAGCCTCCCGCCATAGCTACCGGTTTGCCCAAACCAGGACGAACCGGTAGAAACCCACCACTGGATACAACGCTTAGTGGTAGTCGACTAAGATACTAAATAAGCAATCAAAATCATACTAGGAAACTAAATAAAACAATATAAATCATAAAGATACAAGCAACAAGGTTATCGTCATAAGTAGAAAAGGAGATAGGCAATAGTGTTATGGAATGAAAGACTGAAAAACATTCCTGGGTCAGCCAGATACAGTTTATTGCGCAGGTTCAGAGTCAGATTTGTACCTGAAGTTCTGAACAAAGAAGAGCTCAGATACAACTGCTTTTATATGTTTCCAAGACAAAGGGTTTAGTGAGCTCATGCATTTTTCCATATATGGTTAACATACACTTGTTATATGATAATTGACACTTCGTAATTACTAAACCATTATTTTCTAGTTTATAAGATTATCTTTAGCTAAACAACCTTCCTTAGTTCTGTAATTACTAATACGGGAGACTTATTGCTGTCCTTGGGCAATAAGTAACTCTTTGTAACATACATGTCTTTGTGTCTTTGACAGTGAGGCCCCTCAGATGTTTTCCATATGGCTGTCCTTCTGTGACAGCTAGGCCTCATCAGAAGATATATTACCAATAATGGGATTTAGCTGATTTTTAATATAATCTCCAAACAAGCACATTTCTCCCTTATAATAATGTGAATAGAGAGGGTCCTTTAGTGTTCATGTAATAAATAAAATTATACTTATACTTATACTTATGTAACTGACTCTGTATGATTCCTACTTTATTCACATTATTAGGAAGGATGAGAAGAAGAATAGTAATACAGTCTTAGTATTTAATAGTTAGTAAATAATGTTCTCTGAATTATTATTTTTTTCTTTTCTAAAATTGGAGGAAAGTTGGTGGTCAGATTTGCAGATACCCTGACCCCATTTTAAGAATTGCAGTAATTTGGGTTCAATTTTCCAGTAATTTCGCCTGCTTTCTGTTAAGGCTGCTGGAGGGATGAAGAATGATGGGGCACAGGAAGATGAACCAGAATTAAAATGCAATTAAAGAAAGAAAAAAAAAGAAGAGCCGGATTTCAAACCAGAAACAATATCAAACATGCCATATACTTTAAAAAAAGATCAAAGGCGAAACAAGATTGATTTGGGGAGAGTAATGCAAAGATAAAGGGAGAGCTTGAGTAATTTTCCAATAAATATAATGTCTATATTTTACTATAACTTCCTCCCATATCAACCTGTAATGATACATGATATTAGCCTGGCTTAATACTCTTCTGAAACTTGATCTAAGGCCTTTGAAAAAATAATAATAATAAAGCTTTTCAAAGGATGCTCTTCATCTTATATCTAATGCATTTATTGGGATACAGGGGAACCAGAAACTTCAAAAGCGTAACTGTTTAGAGCAGTTGTTTCACAACCTTGGCAACTTCAAGATGGGTGGACTTCAACTCCCAGAGTTCCCCAGCCAGTTTGCTCAACCAAACTCAGAGAGTACCAAGGACCCCCAACCTCAGCTACAAATACTCTCTTTCTATTGGTTCGTCTGTGATGACACTTTTTCTCGGTTGCTCTATACTGGTACAGGTAGTCCTTGACTTACAACAGTTCATTCAGTGCCGCTGAAGTGACAACGGCACTGAAAAAAGCGAGTTATGACCAGGGGTGGAATTCAGAAATTTTAGCAGCCAGTTCTCTGCCCGGTTGCTGGGTGGGCGTGGCCATGGTGGGTGTGGCCTAATCGGCCTCCTGTACTACGGGGGGGGGCATTTTCCACTGATTAATGGTTCTAAGTGTAGGAAATTTCTCCTTACTTCTAGGTTGCTTCTCTCCTTGATTAGTTTCCACCCATTGCTTCTTGTCCTACCATCAGGTGCTCTAGAGAATAGCTTGACTCCCTCTTCTTTGTGGCAACCCCTGAGATATCGGAACACTGCTATCATGTCACCCCTGGTCAGTGGTGGGATTCAAAAATTTTCACTACCGGTTCTGTGGGTGTGGCTTGGTGGGCGTGGCTTGGTGGGCGTGGTGTGGCTTGGTGGGTGTGGCTTGGTGGGCATGGCAGGGGAAGGATACTGTAAAATCTCCATTCCCTCCCGATCGGCTGGGACTCGGGAGGCAGAGAATAGATGGGGGCTGGGCCAGTTAGAGGTGGTATTTACCGGTTCTCCAGAACTGGTCAGAACCTGCTGAATACCACTTTTCCCCCGGTCCTTCTTTTCCTTAAACTAGGCATACCCAATTCCACCAACCGTTCTTTATATGTTTTAACCTCCAGGTCCCGAATTATAGTTGCTGCTCTTCTCTACACTCTTTCTAGAACCTAACTCTAGAACTGCTTTTAATTGTTTCCTGGTTGTTCACTGCCCAGAGTCACTTGTTTGAGATGGACAGCTATAGAAATGGAATACATAAACAAATAGTTTTGCTTGATTTCTGATGGTTTGAGGGCTGGAAGTCTTGCTGTCTTGCAGATGTCACGCTTCTAATTACCGAAAAAAAAATGTTTCTGTCGGTTCGGCAGGAGAGGAGGACATCAAATCCGTGGAGGATTTCTGTATCAAGATTTTGCTGCTTCCATGATGATTGCAACTACTTTCAAGTCGCCTGGGAATTCAAGAGTCGGTTGGTGAGACGAGCGTAACTTGGTATTAGGATAATCCATTTCTCCCGAGAGAATCAATCACGTCTGTTGACAATCTTTTATGTCTCTTGTATTTCCAGGAGATGAGCTATTCTGTATCGACACACCATCGAGAGACGGTGGGGAACAAAATAGGTTTGTGTTATGTGTTGCACAGAGCTGTAAAATCCGATTTGCAAGGTCAATAAATTCCTCCAATATGAATCTGACCCAAACTTAATTCATTTTTTGCAGGGTTTTGTTTTTCCCAATGCAAATGAACTTTCGAGATGTCAGTAGGTTTAACAATATGTTTATTTAGATACTATTGCTTCAACTTTTATATGCTCATAGATCCGATATATAAGTAGTCCTCGATTTACGACTGTTGGTTTAGTGACTGTCCAGAGTTATAATGGCTCTGAAAAATGTGACCATTTTTCATGGTCACGACTGTTGTAGTCTCTCTGTGGTCACATGATCAAAAATCAGACCATATCCATGTAAAATTATGATTCTTGGCTTGAAAACAATCTCCTGTATGATTATTGTCCCATCCAGCCTAAGGTAAGAAGGGAGAGCCCAGGAATTTTAAAGTTACCAGCAACAATAAGCAGCTCTAACAATATCTTCTCTACAGCATAGTGATCAAAGCAATTGTTAAAGCAAATTTGCTGATTGACAATTACAGTAAAAAGCCAATAATGTTCAGAAGGTAAGGCAAGGATTATAAGTACATTCAAAGAAAATGAAAGTTTCCAAAACAAAATGCAGGATCAGTCCAAGAGTCAAGAACCAATTTTCCAGGGAGGAGAAAACCAGGACCATAATGAAGATTGAGGTAGGAGACGACCAGGCTGAACCCCCTGTAAGAACCCTAAGACCAGCCATTGACTGAAGTCCATTGACTCTTATCTATTCTCACCTATTCTCCTTGACTGTTCGTAGTGCAGATTCTTGTGTATAGGTAGCATGAAAGTTGTAATACTTTTGTTGGAAGAAATGTCCTTCTGGGTTCAGTTCCAAGTGGGGGGAAAGACACTGGATTCAGGGAAGTTGCTTGAAAAGATGGTTTATTGATGAACAGGATCACATGGCTTGAGATCCTGGGCAGAAAAAGGGACAGAGATGCTGAGAGTGCTTGGGTTTTATGCCCTCTGTTGGGCGTGAGCTTAAATAGACTCCAGAGGATGGTAGAGGACAGAAAGGCCTGGAGGAACGTTGTCCATGGGACTTCGCAACTAACAACAAAAGAATAGAATAGAATAGGAGAGGAGAGGAGAGAGGAGAGGAGAGGAGAACAGAACAGAACAGAACAGAACAGAACAGAACAGGAGAAAGAACAGAACAGAACAGAACAGAATAGAATAGAATAGAGCTGGAAGGGATCTTGGAGGTCTTCTAGTCCAGCCCGCTTCCTCAAGCAAGAGAATCCATACCATTTCAGACAAACGGTTGTCCAATCTCTTCTTAAAAACCTCCAGTGATGGAGGGCCCACAATTTCTGGAGGCAAGCTGTTCCACTGGTTAATTGTCCTCACTGGCAGGAAATTTCTCCTTAATTCCAGGTTGCTTCTCTCCTTGATTAGTTTTCCACCCATTGTTTCTTGTCCTGCCCTCAGGTGCTTTGGAGAATAATTTGATCCCCCTCTTCTTTGTGGCAGCCTCTCAAATACTGGGATACTGCTATCAAGGCACCCCTAATTCTTCTTTTCTTTAGACTCTTCTGAATTACTTTCGTAGCTCTGGAGTACAGGTCATCCTCGACTTACAACAGTTCATTCAGTGACCGTTCAAAGTTACGACGACACTGAAAAAAAGTGACTTATGACCATTTTTCACACTTACGACTGTTGCAGCCATCTCCTTGGTTATGTGATCAAAATTCAGACACAACTGATTCATATTTATGACCGTTGCAATGTCTGGGATCATGTGATCACTTTTTGCAACCTTCTGACAAGCAAAATCAATGGGAAAGCCAGATTCACTTAACCATGTGTCACTGTAACTAATTGCAGCAAGGAAGGTCGCAAAACGGGGCAACATGCACTTAACGTCTGTCTCGCTTAGCAACAGAAATGTTGGGCTCAATTGTGGCCGTAAATTGAGGACTACCTGTAGAGCTTGCTCAAGGAATCCTTAACTAAATTGTTAGCTAGTATGGAATGTAGTTAGGCTGCTAACATACCAAGAGATGTTCAAGGCTGGCTGGAAACTTCCACTTTATTTTTCCACAATGTTCTACCTACTTTTGCTGTCTTTCTCTTTCTTTTTAAGTTGATATAATAAGGATTTGGAGGGATGCTGTGGCTCAGTGGCTAAGACGCTGAGCTTGTCGATCGAAAGGTCAGCAATTCAGTGGTTCGAATCCCTAGTGCCGCGTAACGGGGTGATCTCCCGTTACTTGTCCCAGCTTCTGCCAACCTAGCAGTTCAAAAGCACGTAAAAAATGCAAGTAGAAAAATAGGGACCACCTTTGGTGGGAAGGTAACAGCGTTCCGTGTGCCTTTGGCATTTAGTCATGCCGGCCACATGACCATGGAGACGTCTTCGGACAGCGCTGGCTCTTCGGCTTTGAAACGGTGATAAGCACCGCTCCCTAGAGTCAGGAACGACTAGCACATATGTGCGAGGGGAACCTTTACCTTTTTAATAAGGATTTAATTCCTGATTCTGCTGCTTTTTAATTATCTTAATCATGGCTAGATTAACACACATCCACAGTATTTAGATTTCAGCATATTCATTTTTTTCTCCCCTTTTTGCTAAGCGTTGTTGTAGCTATTTGCTGGCTGACAAGATATAAGTAATAATACATATAGAAAATAGTTACATAACATCACCAATTGCCTTTTGGGATAGAACATCTGGCATCTGAGCTTGCTGTAATGGTGTATAAAATACATTGCATATGTCCTTGAAACAGTAGTTCACATGTGTCCTTGTGATGAAGCAATATTATTTATCCCCAAGAGAAATTTCAGAGGAAAAAGAGATAAATCATTTGCACAAACTGTTCTGAAGTATTTGGAGATCACGGATGATAAAGGAAATTTGTTTCCTGCCGTAGGAGGAAATTTCAAGAAATGTTGTTTCTATCAAGCTTCAGGAAGAATGACTGAAATAGGTAGGCTGGATTATTAGCTGTTCAGTAGCAACACACGGTGATGAGAAATAATTTGCTTAGCCCTGTTTGTTAAACAAGCCGCTGTGGGTCCAGGGATGGGCTTCAAAAATTTTAGTAAGGGGTTCTCTGCCAGGTTGCTGGGTGGGTGTGGCCATGGTGGGCGTGACCTAGTCAGCTTCCTGCACCACGGCAAGGGGGGGCATTTTTGCCCTCCCCAGGCTCCGGAGGCTTCTCTCTGTCAGAGGCAATTAGCCCCTTTACCTTCCTGGGGTAATTGCCTGGATCGTGGCATTTTCCTTGTGTATACTTTTGAAAAATAAAACCGGAATACATCTTCTAATTAAACTCATATTTATTGTAAAGAAGAAAATAAAACATCTTACTAATCTAAATAATTAAATTGTTACATTTTGGTAAAGTTCCTACTATATCTCTGCCGCCGGACTTCTCTTGGCAAGAGAACAATGAAAAGTGTGAAGTAGAAAGAAAGGAATGCGGATATACGTAGTTAGCTTACTGATAATAAAATTGGCAAGCTACGGAAAGTCTGACAGTCCAGAAATAATGAGCTCAGCGGGTAAATACAAAAACGCAGTGACACCCTCAAGCCTCCAGGAGGGCGAAAACAGCCTCCCCAGGCTCCAGAGGCTGTCTTCCCAAACTTCCGTTTTGCGCCCTCCCTGAGCCTCCGTGCGCTCCCTGCACCCAAAATGGGCCACATGGGGACTCCTGGGAGGGAGTGGGCGGGGCCAGTCAGGAGTGGGATTTGGGGGTTCTCTGAACTGCACAGAATCTTAGCTAGAGGTTCTCCCGAATCCCTGCAAACCCCCAGCAGCAGTGGTGAAATCCAATTTTTTTTACTACTGGTTCTGTGGGTGTGGCTTGGTGGGTGGGTGTGGTGTGGTGTGGTGTGGTGTGGCTTGTTGGGTGTGGCTTGGTGGGCATGGCAGGGGAAGGATCCTGCAAAATCTCCATTCCCACCCCACTCCAGGGGAAGAATACTGCAAAATCCCCTCTCCACTTCTGGATGAAGGATATTGCAAAATCTCCATTCCCACTCCACTCTGGGGCCAGCCAGAGGTGGTATTTGCCGGTTCTTGAACTACTCACAATTTCCGCTGCCGGTTCTCTGAACTGTTCAAAATTTCCGCTGCCGGTTCTCCAGAACTTGTCAGAATCTGCTGGATTTCATCCCTGCCCAGCAGCCCACCCCTGTGTGGGCCCCAAATCATGCTAAGCCACAAATCATGTTTCATAAATCATAATGTTTTGGTTTGCACAATGCTTCTATCAAACCAAAGAAAGCATGCTATGCTTTAATGCACTCTTACGAACTAGGCTATGTATTAATCGATAATGCTTGTTTTTGGGCTTAATTATCAGTTGGTTGAGCTCTTCTTTCCTATAAGCCAGAGATCTGCAACCTTAAATACTCAAAGAGCCATTTGGACCCATTTCCCACAGAAAAGAAAACACCGGGAGCCACAAAACCTAGGTGGGCGTGGCTTCCCCAGTCACATGACCCACCCCCCAGCCACTCCTACCCAGCCGGTCATTAGGGCAGAGAACCAATTGTTAAAAAACACCGGGAACCACAAAATCTCTCTCTCCCCTTCCTCTCTCTCTCCCTCCTCCCTCCCTCTCTGTATCTCTCTATGTCTCTCTCTTTCCTCCTCTCTCTGTATCTCTCTGTCTCTGTCCTGGCCGCTTCTCCCACCCCCCATTGTCGCCCTTACCTTCTCAGGCCAGGCGAGGAGTGACTGGGAGGGGAGGGCGAGGGGCGGGCCAGCCAGTGGTGGGATCACCTGACAGGGAGCCACAGCAGAGGGCCCAAAGAGCTGCATGCGGCTCCAGAGCTGCAGGTTGCTGACCCCTGCTATAAACCATAGTTTATTGGATTAATGTACCCACTGAATTTCTTGTGATTTAGTAAAAAAAATAATAATAATGGCTGTTTAAAAAAATGATCCCAGATATTGATATTGAAATGGGTGGGAATTTAATTCTGATTGGAAATCTGACTTAAAATGCTTAATAATACAGAATTAATTGGATTCTTGCTCCCATTTTTTTTCACTTTAAAATATTGCACGAC